TCAAGATATTAACGCAGCAGGTATCTGATGCTTAAGAAGGATTTGTTAATACATTCAGAACAATGGAAAGACACACAGGCTGGGGAGGAGTTGTAAACAGGAATCGGGTGATGGTTACTTTTTTTGCAAGCTTGCTGAAACGGTAACAAAGATGGAACTGTTGAGAAAGCAGCAACTTGAGTCAAATATTGAAACACTGTCATTTTTAAAGCCACCAGAGAGTCTTTGTGGGATGCAAATCCGTATTTGATTAGCTTGGAATGTCTGCCTGCAACAATATTGTGAAATTGTGTCACTTTCCTCATACTGGGGAGCTGTTTCTCTGTGTGTGATGTGTGGCAACATAAGTATGCCCAGCATGAAGAAAACTTTTGGAATGAAAAGGAGGGAGGGGAAAAACCCTGCGCACCCGATTCAGGTCACATTAATCTTCATATCAAGGTTTGTTGGACATGTTGGCACAGGTGCTCCACTCTCTGACATTACTCAACCCCCCCCCCCCCCCCAACTCCATCAGTTTGTACAGACGTTCCGCTAACGCAAGCCTCTTTTAAAAGGTCTGAGTCCGCACTGTTTAACAACTTCTCTCTATTGATGTGCACAAACACACTTTGCAGAGTCTTGCACTATTATCAAGGTGAGGAATGTGTCCAGTGTTTAACAGCAATTGTCATACGAGTGAGAGGAGGTAAATGTTTGAGCTCTGAATGGCTACACATTCCTGCATGGTGCACCGGCTGCACCCGTCTTTGTGCTCTATTGATATCTTCTCTGATGCACTGAAAGGTTATCTGGATGTCTTCTCTCTTGATTTTGGGTTGTCCTTCGACCGGATTTCAATTTTTTTATTTCCCAAGATTCTGTTAAGGTTTCCAAATGAACTTTGAATGTCTGTCGTCATAATTTATGATGTCATCCCCTTAAGAAATCCCTTTCCTGTGTTGTGTTGTATAGGATGTTGTTCATCTAAATGGTCTGCAAAAGCAAAAATCCTGGAGAGGGAGTTTCTCTCTCACACACCCCCCCCCCCCCCCCCCCCCCCTGCCTGAAACGCCCCCATTAGACTCCTTTGTATACTTCCATAACATAGTGACAACACTATGTAACACTCACGCTTGAACACAATGAACGTGAAAGGCTAAAGGGCGGGACATCTCTAAGCGGTTGACCAATCACAGCAGAGCCGGCCAGCTAACCAATCAGAGCAGATGGGCTCTGGTTTCAGACAGAGGGTGAAAAGAGGTGGCAGGCAGTATGATACAAATAAAGAGCTTTTTGAACATTAAAGCGTGGAGACATGTCACAGTAGAAGCACAAAATAAACGTTTTTATTTTTTATTCAAAACTATTTTTATTGATTAATTCAATTGAAATATCAATATATAAATACAGTAAAGCTTAAAGCTTCAAAATGTTCAGTAGAGCCCTAGTTTTCCTTCTTGTAGCTGCAAATGTTGTAATTTGACCCCGGGTCTGCCTCAAAGCACATCCAACCTGTTTTCATGCAGCTTTATCATCGTATGCTCATGTGTAGTTTCCCTCAGGTGTTCACAGGCTCACAATCTGTTTTATCTGGCTTTTAAAGGCATCAAAGACCCACATCGCCCGCACACAAACACACACAAAATTGCAGCAGAGATTTAAAGGATCATGTGCTGTTTTCGAAGTTTGTGAGTAGTGTGGTGTTGCTTATAAAGTCATAGCTGGAGATTTAAGGGTGGTTTTAAGGGCTTTACGTGCCAAAAACTACGTATTAACTCTTTGCACATTTTGGCACAATAACACTGTAATCGTCGAATCGGATAACGCGCTTTTTAGAACACCGATCTAAGTGTAATAGTGAAAAATCTTTATCACCCCGTTCACACCAAATCCTCGAAAGCTACGCCTTGATTTCTTAGTTGTATTCGATTTAATGCTGACTGGTGTGAATGTCAGCCTCTCTGCTGTGAATGAGTCACGCTGGGGATGCAGTTCTGTTTTCTGCTCGGTTAGGGGAAGTCCGGTGGTGCGCTACAGCCAGAATCTTAACAGCTGGGACCTCTGGCAGAGAGACAGCGCTCAGCAGGCCAAAAACATCCCCCTCACATGAGTTTCCTCTCTCTCCCCTGACCCCCACGTCCTTATTTCCCTCGGGTGAATCGGATCTTAATGAGCAGACATTCCAGGTCCCGGCACGGTTTAATTCCTCATGCCCTCTTCTCAGAGTGCGAGCGGGCTTTTATTACAATAGAAGGAAACCGCAGTCGTAAAGAAGTGGTTGAACAGACGCAGGCCAGCACACACCTACTGTAGCCTTGGCAGAGCGGTGGGAAACCCATAGGAAGACCCACCTCAGGAAAGTATGTCTGTCTTTAAGGAGTGGGAGCAGTCTGAAATGTAGAACAAATACCACATTCATCTCCCAGATTATCAAGGCTTTTTTCTTGTCAGTGGTGATTACATACAAGATTGTGCTGTCAGAGTGAAATATCTAAGAGTCCAACTTTCTGCCTAAAGTCATTTATATCCTCCTCAAACACAAGCACACAACAGGCGGATTGTTGACAGGTGCACCAAAGTTTGCTTCAAACACGTCCCACTAAATCCACAACATACAAGCAATCCTGCGCTACTTCTCCGATGGCTCCCACAGGATTGTTGACATCCTCGTGGATTCATCTTCTTATTATAGACACATACATTTCCAAACATTTGGTCTACCTATGTTGTAAATATATTATCTTTTCAATTTACACACGGCATCTATTGCACGTCTGTCCGTCCTGGGAGAGGGATCCCTCCTCTGTTGCTCTCCCTGAGGTTTCTCCCATGTTCCCTTTAAACTGTGGGTTTTCTCCGGAAGTGTTTCCTTGTACGATGTGAGGGTCAAAGGACAGAGGGTGTCATATTGTCATACTGATATTCCGTACAAACTGCAGTCCACTGAGGCAAATAAATAAACATTGATTGATTGAGGTGTGCATGTTTTTCATAACATGTCGATTCTGGATAAATCGATATAATGAAACATTGAAAACACATAAGATGGATAGATTTGTTTTACTTGCTCTTTAAGATGTGGTAATTGCTATCTCATTTAAGTTCCCTCAATGTTTGCTGTGTGTATGTCATTTTGAATACATACCTTGATATTTGAAAGGGTTTAAAATCTCATTTCTCATAATGTTACATTGGCATTACATGATTGCTCATTTTTCTTTCTTCCACTTTATTTCCTTTTGCATGTCTGACAATCTCAGTGGTTTTTGAATATCTACCACCTCAAAAATAATAATGTTTTAATGTTAAAATTATTGCTTTTATGGTAAATGGTTACTACTGTCATTCCTGGTGTTTTTCCCAACTAGCTAACATAGGAAAATGTGCAGTACAATACATTTTGTTATATTCATCTTTCATTTTAAATGGTATGGAAAAGTTTGGTTTAGAACATGGAGTCGTAGATTGACACTGGTCCCGGTGTTGTATTGAAGTATTTTGAGTATTGTGGCAACACGGGTTCTGTAGGTGTGTTTGTTTACCTGTTGCCATATGATCGCCCGCCGAATAAAGACTTTTCTGGCTCAGCGGTTGTCCCGCGGCTGACCCCAGAAAAATGCACGGTTCAGAAGGTTTAATGTAGCTGGACTGTGAAAATGTTTGCACGGGAGAGGGGGCTGAGAGTACGAGATGGAGGGAGAGAGGGAGGTGAGGCAGACAAGTGTGCCAGCAGTGACTCAGCCAGTTGTCAGGGGATTTCTGGGGATTTTCAGGATTATAGAAGTAGATAAATGGGTATTAGAACAGCATGTTTTAACAATACAGAGTGTACAATACAATGCAGCTATGAAATGAGCAGAAAGAGTCGAGAGGCTTTGCTTGTGTCTGGAGGAAAATCTGATAAAGGTGGAATCCAAACACAGAGGCAGGTTGCAGACCTGTTCTCAGGATGTCCAGCAGTTGGCGGAAGGACACGGTTTATTTAAGTTCTGCTCTGAAAACAGGGAGTGGACCAGATCAACATGATGTGTGTATCATATAAGCCGGGTCCTCAAAGTGTTGCAGAACATGGAAAGCCGAGTGAAGAATGTGTGTTGCAGGAGGTCTGCCGTGTGAACCAGACTTTAAAATCTCTCCACTGTGAGATAAGGATCAGGTGCTCGCTGCTACATTTGGCTCGCTCTGGGTTCTGTGGGAATTCAGTTGTTCCTGTAAGAACCCTTTAACATCTTTACAGTTTCTTGCAGAACAGTTAATCTACCTTCTTTGCAGTGAGATCGACAGTTGATTTACATTTTGGATTGGTGCTCATCAGTCTGAGCCAGCAACATTTCAGAGCTGCTGCAGAAAGAACAGTTTTGTTTCTTGTTGTTCTTGAAAGACTGTTCTCTGTAGAGCGACAACTAATTAAATATTTGTATTAGCGATTAATCTGCTGATTATTTTCCAGATGAATTCAGAAATCATGTCCATGCTGGTTTTCTCAAAGTCTTATGTGATATCTTTAAATGTTTTGTTTTGTCAGTCTGAAACTCTTAAGATATTCCGGGAGTAATGCGATAAACATCAATTATTTAAGAAGCTGAAAAAGCATTTCTGCCATTTTTTATGAAGATTAAACGATTAATGAATTATTAATTAGTTACAATAATTGTTGCAGCTATAGTTCCTTTTTTGTGTTCTATGCAAAGAGGTGTGATTTTTGGTAGCTTCACTTCCACTTTTTCTTGAGGTTAATGAGCAATTAGCAAATCTGTTTCCTGTCACACCATCTTTATGTGGTTGTTGAGTCTGAGAGAGGAGAGGAGGAGGCTGCGTGAGATTGACATTGACAAACTGTGAAGTAAAGTGTCAGAAAATGAAAGAAAGACACGGAAAGCAAAGCAGAAAGAGGCTGTCTGACACACAGCCTTTGGTTTGTTTAGAACTGTCCGTCTGACCTTTGCCCTCTCTGCTGTTAAACTGAACCCGCGCCCCCTGACCTTTGCACCCCCCCCCCTTCCCCCCCGTCTGTGCAGCGATGGAGGTGTTGGTGAGTGAGCTGGGCGTCCTGCTGAAGATGCTGGACCAGGAGAACCTCAGCTCCGACACGCAGGAGAAGAAGACCTCCGTGTGGAACCTCCTGAAGCAAATACAGCCATCGGGTCAGTAAGAGGAGGATACAAGTCCTAGTGTGTTTCATTTCAACTCTACACATACAAACACGCACTACACTCGTCATTTTAAAGGGTCTCTTTCCTTGCCTCCAGTTTCAGGAACAGACTGCATCTACATGAATTCAGCTGTGTTCAGAAACGGCACCAGCTTCGTAGAGTCTCTCTTTGAGACCTTTGGTGAGTCTTTGTTGCTGTAAAATGTGCCCCTTTCCATATAAATACTCTGCAGACATCATGTTCTCTTTATATATAGTGTCAGTTTAAATATACATTATTGTGTCTTGCAGACTGCCAGCTTGGGGACCTAAAGGATGTGACAGACGATCTGAAAGACAACAACACACAAGCTGACACTTTAAAACAGGCAAGTGGCAAATATATAGTTGATTTCCAACTGATCCTTTCCCAGAAATCTACATTACATGTGTGGGACGCGTCGTTTCAGCACTCACCATCCAAATTCAACATCGCAGAGGACCATTACAGCTCTAAATGACTTGTGGAGGAAAAGCAAAGAAAAACAGAGATTGTATTCCATGTTGCGGGGCTTTCCCATGCACACATGCTCATCACTCTGCAAGCTGTTGAAGGAGTTAAGATTTAGGGACCCGCCCAGAGCCCATGTGTCTAATTTATGGATATCATTTAAAGGGTTTTTCTTTGTATCGCTTTGATGATGGAGTTCTGAGGCTGTGAAATAAAAATTCTTTCTTGGTTATGAGTGAAATTTGAGAGTTGTGTTTGTGTGTTTCGTAGGACTGTGCAGACTCCCCTGCCCCGCACTCCACTGACTCCCCTCCCCCTCTGCCCACGACGCCTCCCCCCGAGGAGTATTACGAGGAGGCCGTGCCCCTCAGTCCTGGCACGTTGCCCGAGTACATCATCACACGAGGTCAGCATCTTCCCGTTCTGTTGCACTCAGTGCTCTTAGTGTCATTTTGCTGTTAAAACCCTTTAGACAGTAATTACAAAGTACAAGTTGTATTCAAATACATCACGGAACATAAGGGGTAATTAGTGATTTGTTTCCTTCCCTTTACAGTCAGGCCTAGCCCTCCCAACTCTATCGAAGATGGTTATGAAGATGCCGAAAGCAACTACCCCACTACGTGCATCAACACACACCGCAAAAACTCATGTAAGTTGAAAAGAAAGTGAACTATATAACACCAAAAAAACTGTCTTTTTCAACAAATAAAACACTTTTGCTTCTCTGTAATTTCCCCATCAGACAATGACTCTGATGCTCTGAGCAGTTCCTACGAGTCCTATGAGGAGGATGAGGAGGAGAGGAGCCCCAGCGTCAGACTCACTCATCAGTGGCCCTCGGAGGAGAGCTCCATGCCCCCCGCCCGGGACTGTCGCATCTGTGCCTTCCTGCTGCGCAAGAAACGCTTCGGCCAGTGGGCCAAACAGCTCACTGTCATACGTGATAACAGACTACAGGTGAGAAGTTGTTAAACTAAGTAAAAGCCCTGACACCAAGCTGATTATCGTCCGTCTGTCAAGCTGGAGACATCGATGAACGTCTGTCCGCCATGTTTTTGTGGTGTTTCCTGCATTTTTAGCATTATTTTACGCAGATTCCAAAATACTCCAATGCCTTTATTACTTGCTGAATTGACAGCGGAAGGGGATGACTCTGATTGGCTGTTCAGCTCAGGCTGATCAGTGCACATTAAGAGAAACGGATGCGAGGATAAATAACAAAACACTCAAATCAAGAGGGAATACATAGACTTTCATCTTATCAAATCATCCTAATACACAGTTATTTTTGAAACTATATCACCAAAAATGGCTGGCAAATGCTGCTTTGTTTAAATGTTTGTAACATAATAACAGCTTGTATATATATATATATATATATATATATATATATATATATATATATATATATACTGCTGGAGTTTTTGGGATTTCCATTTTAGAATGATGATCATGCAGACAGGAACGTATGTGATTGATGGCTGTTGTCTTTGTTGTGTGTTCAAGTGTTATTTTTTGTGGCGAAAACAAAGGCATTGCGAGTGCAACAGTTGACTCTTACGCAACGTGTTTGTTGATCTTGGCTTAGTGTGTCAAGGCCTTATTCTTCAGCATGCATTTAGGAAACCATAAACAACCTCTTCTTCAACTTCTACAACTTTGTTATGTGTGCTCTTTTGTGCAGTGCTATAAGAGCTCTAAGGACACATCCCCCTGTGTGGACATGCTGCTGCCCCAGTGCACTGTGGTCTACGCACCCAAAGACAGCAAGAGGAAGCACCATGAACTCCGCTTCACTCTGCCCAATGGAGATGCACTGGTGCTGGCCGTACAAAGCAAGGAGCAGGCTCACAGATGGCTTAGGGTGAGCTACACTTTGAAATGACAGTCATGCATGTAATACACACCAATACGGCCATCAATCATGTCGACAATCACTGGAAGTGGGTTTGACGATGTGGAAAAACAAACCTCATAGAGTCGAGAGTGATACGTGTGAAATATCTCCCCACAGGTTGTTAGAGAGGTGAGCGGTCAGAGCGCTGGGCCTGAGGAATCTGCGTCTCCCATCATTCCTAGAAAAACGGAACTTGACAAGGTAAGTGCATGAGAGAGGATGTTTGTGTCTGTTGGTTATTCCCAAGACATCATTTATCTTTACAGCTGAGGTGAGGAAAAGTTGGTGGCAAGCAGCAATTGTGTTGTCACCGTCAATTTTCTTAAACAATTGTTTGGCTCAACGCAGTGCACAGTGAAACCTGTATTTGGCTCGCAGAACACGGAGCGGATATGTAGCGTAATTGGGTGTTAAGGCAGCAATGACAGGGGTGTTGGATCAGGCACATCCTCTTTACCTGTCAGACACACACAGCAACAATCCCTTTTATGAAAGAAAGCATAGAATGCAAAGAGAAAAAGGATGAGTCTTAATATGTAACTATGTAAGTTATGAAGGATGGAATCTTGCTAACGAATTACAGTTATTTAGCTCTTAATCTCTCTTCTAGTTTGTACTTGGCAGGCAGACTGATCCTGTGAAGGACTGCTTTTGTAAGTCTAAACCAGTGTTGGTATGCTTCTTCCTCAGAGGCTTTCTGCAGAGAGGAACACCTCAGACTCAGACAGTGTGGGTGTGTCGACTGGAGAGCACTGCAGAGAGAATGGTGAGACAGAGACACACACAGCCTCAAATCAATACAGCAGACAGAAACATGTTGACTCAAAGTCTTTGCCCAATTGTTTTCACATAACTTATTATCAATAGTCCATAGTCTAGTGAAATGTATTTTTGCCACATCTTATCTGTATATCTTGAATTACAGTTTCCAGACACCAAAGATACATTTGGTCAACTCTTTAATCCTTTTGTTTTTGATGTAGGCAAGGTGAAACGGGGAGCTTTCGCTGCAGGCCGTAAAATCACTCGTATCATCAGCTTCTCCAAGAAGAAGCCCCCTCGCCCAGGTGACCCCCGGACCTCATACAGCGACCCTCGGCAAGGTCAGACTCTACTTCACTTAACCTGTCTACATATCCTAAGGTCTTTAAGCCTCTTAAATCTTCAGACACAGCATTTGTAAGCCTCTGAATACCATTGACATCTGACAGCCGGAGGCATAATGTTTTTCAGTTGGCTGTCCATCATCTTCTTGTCAACGTCATATATCATTTATGACTTGAGGAACATTTTATTTGGTCTTTAAATATGGCAAAAAAACTTCCACTTGGACTGAAGGATTAAATTATCTGTATTTGATGGTCAATGCATGGTCACTTAAAAAAAAAATGTGCTTGTTATTTCAATTTCATACATTTCTTTTAGGATAAAATGATGACATTTTAGACAGGCATGGATGTTAACTCAAACTTAACTGGTTTGTAGAGGCATACTTTGGTAAGGCGATAATTCTAGATACTCATCCATCTTTTCCCTCCTTACCATGCAGGCTATGTGTCGGTGCTGGTGCATCAGGTGTGGCGGGAACAGTGGTGCCGTGTGTGCAAAGGCTCCCTGCACTTTTACAATGACAAAGGAGACTCTCGGACGTCCCTGCCTTCACTTCCTCTCCAGGGCTGTGAAGTGCTCCCGGGGCTTGGACCCAAACATCCCTTTGCCTTCCGAATCCTGCGGACCAACACAGCGGTGGCTGCTCTGGAGGTAAAGAACTGACCGTTTGTTCCTCATTTAAAGTTGCTCTGCACTAATCAATACTTTTATTCTAACAGGTCTAAAATGTGTTCAAAGGGGTCACTCTATTTGAAGAACACACCATCACTCGATACCACACTCACACAGTTTGCTGTATTTTAGTGTCTTTCAGCTATTTGTTTTTGAGTAACTTCCAAATTAAAAGCTTATTTGTTGGTCTCTTTTTAGGCTAGTAGCTCTGAGGAACTTGGACGGTGGCTTGGAGTCCTCTTGGCAGAGACAGGCTCTTCGACAGATCCAGAGTCACTGCATTACGACTATGTTGACGTGGAAACCATCGCTAACATCCGCGATGCTGCGCGGCATTCCTTCCTGTGAGTGAGACGAAGAGGGGGGAAGTGGGAATTTCAGGACAAGGTCAAAGCAAGGCCAGTGACCAACGCAAAGATGTTGAGACCAAATAAAGATTAACATCTCCTTTTCTCTAATCCTAGGTGGGCCACATCTTCCGTCAGTAACTCTACAGACTGCAGAACATATGATGAGGTCCCTAATGAGGACATGCAGGTAGGATACGTGTGCTTACACGTTTTTTTAAGTTTAGTTAAACATAGGTGTAATTCTTTACTTTGATGTGACAAGATTAGCGGCTGCATGTCTGTGTGTGTGCAGCTGTTTGGGACTGTCCCTGTCTGAATATGACACTCCATATCAGTCACTGGAACAGACAGACAGTGCTCTGTTACACGCCTATCAATGACTGCTTTTTGTAAGCCAGAGAAAAAGCAGTGTGTGGGCATGGGAGAGGGGGGAAAAGACCAAAAAAAAGAAATAGCGATCTAACTGGTGACAGGAAGGCAAGAGGTCATGGAAGTTTTATAGCCTGTAAACTCCTTTCCTAACCCCACTGACATGCACTTAAACACTTCACCACCTAAAGCCACAAGCATACACACCTCAGTGGTCTCATACCAATGAATCTGAACATTAGTATATTGCTTAGCATAATATACAAACTTTGCAGTCTTTTTCCTCCTCCGTCCTCATCCTTTTTTCTGCATCCTCCCACATCTGTCATGTCCCCCCACCCCCTCTCTACTCCACCCAGTCAGGAGAGAACCGCAGGCAGCAGTCTGGGAATCAAGGGAAGAGGCGCTCAAGTTTCTCCAGCAGTGACTCTGACAGAACCAAGCCTTTAGTCTCCCTCAAACGAACAGGCTCAAGTAAGTGTGTTTAGTTGGTTTTCCAAAATACCATATAACCTATATTAAGTTATCAAGGATTATTTGTTTGAATTAAGTCTTTGTATAGAGTCTAATGCCTAGGTTTTGTATATATATTTTGTGAAGAATAGAGGACCCAAAATGTATCCCTGTGGAACCCCTTTGTTAGAGTTGATCGTACAAAACTTCAGTAACATATCGTGATCCATTACAGCATTACGTCAGATAAATTAACAAAGCTGCACAAATATCATTTTTATCCAAAGTATTCAAATTATCATTCACAACCAACCAAACAGCTAATATCCTATATCAGCACAGCCGGACCAAATATTTGTAGAAGCTTCCCTTTTTATCAGCTTTAAGCCCCTCTCCCTCTTCCATCTGTCTTTCCTTAAATACAATAAATAAAAAAGTATGAGCAGTCTGCTTCTCTTCAAGGGAACAAGAATAATACAGATGGCACTTCTTAATATACTGTAGTTGTGTGTCTCACAGGAGTTAGATTGCAAAGCTCTATTTTTACTGTAGCACACTCTCTTCATAGACTCCTCATAACATTTGAGCTTTTATAAGGCTCAATATTCCCCATTTCCCCTCTCCTCTTAATCATCTTCTCACTTTCCATCTATAATCTCTTCCCTCTTCACTTACATATACAATTTGTTTCCCAGTGTCAGTTGGCCTCCACCATGCAGAAAGGAATTGGGCGTCCTTAGTTTAGGAACGTGATATTGGCGTGGTCGGCTGTCTCTCTGCTCCTCTCAGTGTTGTTTCACAGGCCTTCACTGTGACGTTCTGACACATCAAAGAGCCAGCGCTCTCCACGGCTGAGAGCTTCCGGATGTAACCTGAGATTTATTGGACACTCACATTAGATCCGCTGTCTTGCCTCCTGACCTCTCCCTCTGCAGGAGAGCGTGCGTCTGTTTACCTTTTATTCATGCATCGTATCTTTGTGTCCTCCCCAAAATTCTTCTTTGAATTATGAAAGAGGTCGAATGTGTGTGCTTTTCTCTCACGTGAGAGATTTCATACTCCTTATGTGAAGAGATTTATTTAGGACAGGCAAAATATCGCTGATAATGTTCTGTCTCCTTCCCATAACCCCTGCCCATTTAACCCCTCACCTTTGCTCTCTTCTGACATTTTCACATAGATGAAAACCAATATGGCAGGTATGGGAAAACGCGAGCGGATGAGGATGCCAAACATTACCTGAAAGAGAAGGAGGAGCTGGAAAGAGAGAGGGATGGGATACGAAATGCACTTGTGACCCTCCGTAAGGAGAAGAGAGAGCTGAAGGAAGAGCTGAAGACCGCCTCTGGTAAAGAGACACAAAGCAAATCAGACATCAGTTGAATTTCTTCTCAGTCATTACTGCTTCAATACAAGTCTGCAGCCTTTCAGTGTCCAGATACTGACATGTTTTACTGTAAGCATCATAGCTGTTCTCTAATACCATAGACAATTAGAGGCACCAAGTCTCCAAAGCAAAATGGTTTGTTTGTAAGTTATATTTTTCTTATTTATCTGCACTTCAATCAGAAGGCTTGAATATTAATTAGACATTCCTTGTCCTGTCTCTGACCCTTATTACTTATCTTATTAGAGGGTCATAGACAAATTCCCTACAGGGACGACTAAAACAACTAATTGCTTTTGATAATTAAACCAAAAACATGGCTGTGACATCTTTTTCGAATCAAATTAATTTCCTGTATTTCCACATAGCATGTTGAAGAAATATTCAGATCTTAAATCTGAAAAAAGTAGCACACTACATGTAAAATAATTACCTTTAAGGAAAAAGTACAAAAGTAGAAAAAGCAGAAATAGTCATTAAGAAAAGAGCCATCATCCAACTCTAAATAACATTTTAAAGGATAAGGTTTTTCTTTCTTTGAGGGGTTAAATATTCTTCCAGTTTATAAAATGTTTGTGTAAAATGTTGAATCTGAGATGTAACTAGTATCTTTAGCTGTAGTGAAGTATAGAAGTACAATATTTTCAGTTTGCAATGTCGCGAAGCACAGGTATTAAGCAGCATAACATGGAATCACTCAATTCAAGTAAAAATACCCAAACCTGTATTTACAACCACTTTGTTTGGTTGACGATAATTGCTTTTCTGATCATTGTTTGTCTCATCGTGTTGCTGTGTTGATATGTTGCAGAGAGGAGGATGTCCTCCCTGAACAAGCGTGTGTCCCAGCTGGAGGACACCTGTCGAACCAAAGAGGCGGAGAGGGTGGACCTGGAGCTGCGGCTGACTCGGGTCACAGAGAACCTGAAGAAGAGCCTTGCTGGGGGAGCTCTGGGTGCGCCTGTTGAGGCTAAACCCCCTCTTAAGGTATATATCTTGCTTCATGTGTAAGAACCATAGACTGTATATATAAAGGTAAGGACGCACAAACACATGTTAAACGTGGTATATTTAATTATTTGCCTTTTACTTTCTGTGCAGGCCTCCAGCAAAAAGAAACAGAATATCTACAGTGATGCTTTACCAGTAAACTGTGCCTCAGAGATGCGTCGGAGACCTCCATCTGTTTACGCTTCTTCTGGAACTGTCATGCAGAAAGCAAAGGTAGCTGCTCAGTAACTCTCACTGTGACTTTCGTGAACAATACCCAAGCCTGTCATTAGGGGCAGGTTTCTCTCAGGATTCTAGGGTCACAACAGCGTGTGTCATCGTCTAATGGGTTTTCACGGTTCACACATATATAGAAAGCCACTTTGGATATTCACGATTAAGTGCCGGAATGGTAGGTGTTATCCATAAAAATGATTCTATACATAATTGTGAACACGTTTAAAGATAATTTGTTTTAACAATATTGTTTACTTCAACTATTTGTTGTGTATTACCTTTTTTTGTTGGCATTTGCCATTTTTTATGAGTAGACTATCAAAACCAAAGTTCTCGGAGCCTGTTTTTCAGGTCTCAGGCTCGAAAATGACATTCCTAGAACAAATGACCATATCTTCCCTTCTAAAAGGGTTAAATTAATAATCTTTTTTCTCAAAGCAAGGTTACATCTGTGAGTTGGATGTAGAAGTGTCAGAATCAATTGAACACAGATTGAACACAGTAAACAAATGTAAATTATAGTTTGGAGACCCGTGTTGACAACGCAGCGTCATACTTCATGAATGAATAGTGTAAATAGCAAATCCTGCTTCGTAGTACAGGCCAAGTAACCCTTTTAACGAGTTAATAAAGTGTGGCCTCGTTGTATTTAAAACGTGGCCATGCTTTATTAAGTTGTGCGCACGAGATGTAAAGCGTGGCCACGCTTTAAATACAACGAGGCCACGTTTTAAATACAACGAGGCCACACTTTATTAACTCGTTAAAAGCGTTACGTGGCCTGCGTTACTATTCATTCATGAAGTATGACGCTGCGCTGTCAGCACGCGTCTCCATGTTTGTGATTGGTCAAATATTGCTAACCCCGTCCCTTTCACTTGAACGCGCTCTCAGCCGGACAGAGAAACCCTGGTTGATTTACTGAATTGATAACCAGCTTCGTAGGACCGCTTAGCGACATCGCGTTTGTTAGGCTTAGTTAAGCCGGGTAAATCAAACATATCCAGGGTCTCTTGTTGAACTGGCTTCGTCGTACAGGGCACTGGAGTGTAACTCAGCAGAATCTGAGAAGAGCAGCACCAGCTGCAAAGAGCTGTGCCTTTTACTGTTTACTTCATTGTTTCCGTTCATTACCGCTGAATAGAGATTGAGGCTGCTACGTTTAACCACACACAACTCTACACACGGCGAACTACCAGAGTATTCCCCCTCGTTTTATGAAGGAGATGTCCTGTCATCAGGGCGCATGATGTGTGTGCGTGTTTGTGCTCAGCTCCGCTCTGTGTGTGCGTGTTCGGTGTGTTTGTGTATGTCCGACACCACCGGCATTTGTTTTCAAATTACCACGAACAGTAATTTACAAAAATCTGGTTCTCAATAGTTATATGTGTATTCCCAAGTGAAATAAATTTGTTTAATCTTAATCTCGATGTAGTGCTATAGTCCTGCCGGAGTGCACCGGAAACAATCGTATCGTAAACAAATGCCCACACACACACTCACACACACGCCCTGGCGACCGGACATACTCTTCATAAAACTAATCAATTTAAATTGAGGCCACGCTTTATTAACTCGTGAGCACGCTTTATTAACTCGTGCGCACGCTTTATTAACTTGCACAAGTTAATAAAGCATTCGCACGAGAAGATATCTCGTGCGAACGAGATACGTGGCCACGTTTTATTTATTTTTCTCTCTAGAACCCTCCAGAGCTCCGTATGTCCGTCCAAAAAATATATATATACTTTTAGTGAAAACCACCCTTGAATGATGGGATGGTAGACTAAAAGCTTTAGGAATCCAAACTACAACATATAATAAGTACCCTGTATCGAGATTGATGCAAAACAAGTGAAGTGTGACCTTTTTAGAGAGATTCAGAAAAATATACCCACTTCTGGGGTCATTTGGGTGCATTTTCCATATCTCTGGCCCCCCTTGGTCGAGCTAACTTTTACTCTCCGATTTTTACATAAAAATGGAATTATGGATTATAAATATTTTTTTCAAAGTGACAGGCACATTCAATTAACCTATGGATTAACCTTCAGCAGCGTTTTTATCGTTTTAATGCCATTGAACACGACTTTTGATCAGAATAACAGCTAAGATGAGACGATGTCCTGTTTTTCCTCCATAATGCTACGTGTTGTGATGTCTGTGTTTGTTTCCCCTGTTGCGAGTTCTGATCGCTCAGTGATCATACTATACCTATATAATCTGTGGAGTCTCAGATTTAATCGGATATCTTGTATGTGCAGTTACGATAAGTAATAAGGGTATCTTTATCTTGAGTTCTGTGCCAAATTGTGTTAGCATTTTTCGCTCAGGGGTCATTTAGATGTTTCTTGTGAGACTTGTGTTTTGTTTTGGTAAAAATGGTTTGTATTGTCAGTTAGCTGAGATTCTTCCCGTTAATCTGGTATAACTAGTGCTGTCAAAATTATCGCGTTAACGGTAATTAATTTTTTGAATTAATTGCGTTAAAATATTTAACGCATTTAACGCATGTGCAGAATGGCCCGCCCCATACTTGCGACCAGTGGCAGCGCCAGGGTATGGCTGGGGTAGGCTACACCCATACCAAGAAATGGCTTAGCCCTACCATGAAAAATGATGTTAAAGTAAGCAAAATAAAGTCTGCCAACTCGCGCGAATTAAATTGCACAGACAGCAGTTAGTAAGATTGATTTCAGTAGCCACGGTTTTGAAAACTTTTGTCACGTAGTGATCTTCTCAATAGAACATCTTTGATAACGGCGTGGTGTTGTTGCAGGAAGTCCCGACGGAGAATACTTTTGCTGTAGTACAGGGGTGCACATAACTGGTACGCAGGTTATGTGCGTAATCTGAAATGCGTACCGTCACTTGTGTCACAAAGCGCATTTGCGTACCGACGTACTTGTGAAGCTTTTCCAGAAGGCGGTTAGATCACCGGACGACAGAGTCGGTCTCCGTGTGCACAGACAGGGCTGCTGTTAACGTCGGTCTGTACAACGGAATTGTGCCAAAACTACGCCAACCGGCTGCGGAGGGAGACTCCCCCCCCTTCACTGGAGAACTGCGCTAAAACAGCTGATCACAACGTTCACACTCTGTGGTCACGAAGTACTCCACTAGCCGCCGCCCCCCCCTCCCTCTGTCGACTTTCCTGAAGTACTCCCCCGTTGATAGAAATCAACACGTAATTCATTAAGACCCCATGGTTTGATGATTGATAGGTGTGTGGGTTGTCTTTCATTTTGACAAGCAGAAATGTTTTATAATAAACATAAGGCGCTTTCACACTGCGGTACTTTTCCCACAAAGGTTCATGTGAACTTAGTTCATGTGAACTCTTTAGTTCGCATGAACTAAGTACAGATCGCGTTCACACTGGAAAAAGTCCGTGGGGGTGGATTAGGCAAATGAAGCCGCTGACGTCACTTGTTCTTCTTCTGCTTTGGGTTTACTGGCAGGCCGCAAACCACTTCATGGCGTATACTGCCGCCCAAAGTCTCCGGCCGGAAGTCCCCGGAGTTGGGGACTGGCTTCAGTAGAAGCTGCTGGGACTCCCAGCAGCTTCTACTGAAGCCTTCCGAGTAAATCGCCAGAACGCCGACACCTCCTCATCTCCACCACTCCCATGTTTTATTTTGTGTTGCCATAAATTAGTCTCTCTGCGTTTCTGCGCTGGGCTAATGCTAATGCTAATAATGCTAATGCGAGGATAATAAAATGGCGACTTCACAAAACTTTTTGGGAGTTTTGCGGGGCGTGGTTTGCAATCCTTCCAGCCAATCAGAAATGTAGCTCTTTTCTCACAAAAGAGCCGGGTAAAAAGGTTCACATGAACTAATTTTAGTTCCGGCTCTTTTTGGTGTGAACGCGATAAAAGAGTTCACATGAACTAAGTTCACATGAACCTTTGTGGGAAAAGTACCGCAGTGTGAAAGCGCCTATAGATAGCCTACTGTATGTTAAATGGATATATCCGCCTTCTTTCATTTATCTTTCCATTCCCACAACAATATACATAAATAAATGGCATATTTTGGACATAGTTCGAATGGTGATTAATCATGATTAATTAATTAAGCTGTGATTAATCTGATTAAAAATTGTAATCGTTTGACAGCCCTAGGTATAACACATTAATAGGTTTTTAAATATTAAGATGCCCTGAAAAAAAAAGACCCGCCGAAGGGGTCTTTGGGGCTTAACAGGTTAATAATGCTCTATTTATTTTTGCTGTTTCTTTGTTTACTTGTACGTTTCAGATGCACCTGCTTTCATGTTGTTACTGAATCTCCTACATGTGTTTACCTTTACAGGAATGGGAGTCAAAGAAAGCAACCTAAGAGCAGCATTATGGAGAGGACTGGAAAAGAGAGATCATGGACGTCAGGATGTTGTTACTGTGAAATTCAATCTCTCTAAGGATATCCTTCCATCTCCAGCCCAAAGCAAAGACTTTTCAGAGGAATACAACTGTAATGACAGAAATTGCCAGCAGGTGGAGGTACATCTCTCTGAATATTTACTCTTCTGTCTCCCTTAGAAAATGTGAGAATCCAAGGACACTTGCAAGTCTTTGTCCAAGTGATTTCATTGTATTTTGTGAAAATGTGGCAAACAGGAATGAGGGTTTATGGCAGAAAGACTCAAGAGAAGTGAATTGTGTTGTAAAGGAGGGTTAACACAGGATTATGTTCTAATCCTGTGTTAAATGTGGTGAAAATTGTGAAGTAGGTTTGAGAAATGACGAGGGAGGCGATTAAAGCCACAATATGTCTTCTTAAATAATCTACTTTTTTTATTTGCCTGTACAGAGTGAGCCATGACTACTGTTTTGTATTTTATTTTATTTTTTAAAACATTGTTCAAGGATTCATTTCTCATCGTCATTATCATCATAACTACCTTTAAGAGGTATTCAGTAAAGTGCCATAATGGCTGTGTGAATTATATATATATATATATATATATATATATATATGCCAAACATCAAACCATCTGTTGAACAATGTAACATATTCCTTTTCTTGGCAGATAAATACACCATCATTTATGGCGCATTTCCACTGCAACGGGTAGCCCCGTTTAAGCGTCCCTAAGCGTCCTCGCTCAGGCCTCGGGCTGCCTCGCTGGCCGTCCGAGGCCGTGGCGCATTCCCATTACAGTTTAGGACCTGGGGTAGCAACGCAGTGTAGGCGGGGCGATCGGCTTTGTTTTTGTTCACATTTCGAGTTGTTCCGTCGAGCTCCCGCTGGATTTGATCATCCCCAATGAGATGTAGGAACGTCGTCACCTCCTCGGTCGACCACGGTGTGCTTTTCTTATTAGACGTAGCCATTTTTGTAGCTCATCCGTTTACAAAATGCTGTTTATAAAAATGCTGCAAGCTTGCTTCTAAATATATATGCGACGCTAGGGATGAACTCGCGCGCGATCTTGTGACGATTCTCTCTGACCAATCAGCAGGCGAGAGTGTTGACGTTACTAGTTCAGCCCTGGCCCTGGTCTGATAGAACCACGATTTTATGGGGCCGGAAAAAGAGGGGAAAAGTACCCGCTAGCCGGTACTAGGCTATATGGAAAGGCCACCAAAAACTGGCCTGGCCGCTTGAGGACGGTTAAGGACGCTTAAACGGGGCTACCCGCTGCAGTGGAAATGCGCCATTAGTGACTAACAAATTGTTGCTATTGTTGATCAAATTAATCATTTGCAGAGTGGTCAAATCCCCACTTTTATGTAATTTAACAACTTTTCTGCTGAACCTGTGGTTGATTTTTGCACTTTACTGTTCTCCTACCTGGATAAGGGAATAATAAATGTGTGTCTTATTCTCAAACATGTGATCTTAATTCATTTGTTACAGTACAGACCTAAAGTACAACGCATTCTCAGTCTCACTTTTATTATATGAATTAACATGGTATGAAGTAATTGTACACTTTACGGTCTCAAACAATGTATGAAAGCCAAAATAAAGACACTAATACATCATCAGTCACTTAATAAAGGCAATTCAATGCAACACAGTATAGTGTGATGCAGCTCAGGCAGCCTATCGTTTATAACTAGTTTTACTAGTTTTTATTGGACTAAACTTGTCAGGAAATAGACAGAGCCAGGCTTTATTTGTATGTTAAGATGTTAGTAGCCATCCATTTAAAAATGATTAATAAAGCTTTCAAAACGGTAAAATGCAAAGAAGAATTTCTAATGCCGAATGATGAATAGGAGTTTCTAATTCATCATTTTCTAGCCCTGTTTGAGGGACAAAAAGGTAATACATTATGTGATACAAAAAAGAATGTATGATCAGTTTAGATCCAGTGGCAAATGGTATTGGGTCTCAAATGAGAAGATGGAGCAGCATCAAGGATGGTGAAATGAACAATGCAGCAGCTCAGAGGAACAGATAGTAAAGCCAGTAGAGGATATTGACACGGAGGAACGCCATGGGAAAAGCGGTGCGAGAGTGGCGATCGATGTTGTGTGGATTTTCTACCGTGAAGGCGCAATCCGCTGCCTGCTCCAGGGGCTCCTCTGCAGTGGAGCTCATCTGCACAGTGTGTTTCGGCTGGGTGGAGCGGACGATGGGGATGGAGCCGTTTCCGTTGGATTCATCAGTGGCGGCGCCAGGGTATGGCTGGGGTAGGCTACAGCCATACCAAGAAATGGCTTAGCCCCACCATGAAAAATGATGTTAAAGTAAGCAAAAATAAAGTCCGCCAACTCGCGCGGAGTAAATTGCACAGACAGCAGTTAGTAAGATTGATTTCAGTAGCCACTTGTCTGGAAATATCGAAGATTAGAAGCGGTTTTGAAAGTGTAAGTAAACCATTTAAGGGTAAAGTTGTTCCTTTAGCTGGTGCCACAGTGATGATGATGTATTTATACTATCCTTATGAATGCAGGACAGTTATAATGCTTTAAGGAAATTGGTGCAATCCACTGCGTCTATTTCCTACATGTTGGATCACCATGTAAAGCCAACATGTGTATATTGTGTTTATATACTATTTGTATCCACCTACAAAACTCTTAAAGATGAATACAGTTGTGTTCAGTTCAAATGATTGTAATTGTATGTAGTCCTATCATCTACAATATTTAACATCTTTAAACCAAGTGCATGTTGCGAATAATTATTGTTACAGTTGATGAAGGGGCTGGGGTGTCTAAAGTCAAAGATGAATCTTGATTGGGCCAAATTTGACCTCAAGTCACCCAAAACAATGCTGCTGGGTCTCCCCAGACCCGAACACCAAATTATACACTTTTTTTTTAGAGACCTTCAGACTTGTCAAAAATTGTCTCAATCAGTTTTGTAGTGTTTATATAGCTGTTGTGGAGGATATCATGAAGCCTTGTTCCGATTAAAAAAAACTAGAGCGTACTTATTATATAATTTTAACTTGAAACGGATCACGGGAGACCCGAACACAACATAAGGGTTAAATGAGTGTATATTTGTCGTTTTTCTTTCAAATCTAGAATACCTAACCGCCGATGAACACAAATCTGTCAGCATTGTGAACATTTACTTTTCTGCTTTTATATTTTAAATAGCACCACTATAACATTTGACTATATTGTGTTATAATATATATATATTATGTAAATGATGCTGTATGATGTCCTTTTGTTGTTCTATTTATGTTTTTATGTTTCATGTGGAACTACTTGAGCAGGTCTCCCTTGAAAAAGAGATCAATGATCTCAATGGGATTTATCTGTATAAATAAAGGTTTCAAATGAAATGAAATGAAATATGTTTTCTCTGCTTTGGTCATATCTGTCTGACCATATATAAAGTCTATAAAAGTGATTCAATATAAGAAGAATTGATGCACTTAGGCTCTTAACTCCATGATACTTTGACCTTTAGATAAACCCAGTTAGATATGACCGATGCAGGTCCTGGCTGGGACAGAGGACTGGCTGATCCAGAATGAGACCCAGGAGAGGACCACCAACAGGATGGAGGGGACGTACGTCTCCAGGATAAAGAACAGCACGTTTCTACGCAGTGCGAAATGCAACACCAGCTTAGGGTATTGTCCTGTAAAAAAGACAAGGTACATATTGTAATGATGTATCATTTCTGCTCTCATATATAGGCTACTCATTTGTTAGAAGGGGCTTCTGGGGGTTGAAGTATCCTACCTGTCTCTTACACAGCCTCGGACACTAAGGTATAGTAGCTCAGGTATAGCTCTCTACGCTGTACTGAGCCAGCCGCAGTATGTCGAGACCAGGCACGTGCACACATAGACCTCAAAGTGGGCTTGAGCCCCTGCCCTTTTTCTTCCTCCAGAGAAAATTATTTTTTTATTTTTTTAAAATATTTATTTTTAATAAATGAATATATATCTACTGCAGTTAGCGCACAGTTTCCCTTTCCAAAAATATATTGATTGAATAAAAAATAAAGATATCAGATTAAACTGTCAAGTTCCGATGCTCTCTCTCTACCCTCCCTCCCCTCTCCACGTCTCGCGCACAGCGTTGCGGACAGTCATCGGCAGTCACCTCAGACAGAAAGGTAGCAGCACCTCCCACCTCACAGTCCCATGTTATGCCGGCTTTTCTTGGCTTGTTTGAAGGTGAGTGGTGATGAACAAATGACTAAACTGCCAGTGCCTCTAGTTTACAGAGCTTAGCCAAAAGCCAAAAAGCAAATAGTGTTTTTGTCAATAAATCTGAAAATACTGTCAAAAGTAATCAAAGGTTTTAAATACTGTATAGGAATTCAATGTAATATAAATCGTGCTTTGAATGATTTATGACCAAAACCCTCTGAAAAATCCTTAAATATGTATTTGCTTATGTAAGAGCTACTGAAGTGAAAATCTCCCTTTCAGAAAAAGAGAACAATATTTGGAGAAAACGGCCTTAAGGATACGATTTGTAAAATGTAACATTTTGCAAGACACTACAGGTGAATATTTAATACATTTAAGCTAATATGTATCACCATAAAACTTCCCCAGTTGATTAGGTTTATCTTACATGTATAAATATGCAAATGAGGTAATATCTTATGCCTACTTTCTGAGGAATCTAAAGACCCCACTAGACACAGTTTAGTATAATAAACACTTTACGGTATATTCTGGATGTTTCGTTCCACTATAGTTTTTCACCTCATATTTAAATATGAACATTTCCTCACCCTGTGTAATTCCTCTATAGTCTGGTTCTGCATGGTATAGAAGTGTGCACAGGCGTACTCCACCAGAGCACCAAAGATGAAGGTGAAGCAGATGCCCAGGTACACATCGATGGCCTTGATGAAGCAGTTGGCATTGGGCAGGGATGTGCGGGCGCCCATCATCAGTGTGGTCATGGTCAGGACTGTTGTCACTCCTGGGAAAAACATCAGTGTTGTTTTCATGATGTAAGATAGTGGATGAAACTCTACTTCATGTGTCATTTTTTTTGTTGTTGCTTTTTCTATGCTCTTTTATCTAAATGGGTACTGGTGTAAGTAAACCATTTAAGGGTACAGTTGTTCCTTTAGCTGGAGCCACAGTGATGATGATGTATTTATACTATCCTTATGAATGCAGGACAATTATAATGCTTTAAGGAAATTGGTGCAATCCACTGCATCTATTTCCTACATGTTGGATCACCATGTAAAGCCAACATGTGTATATTGTATTAATGCTATTTTTATCCACCTACAAAACTCTTAAAGATGAATACAGTTGTGTTCAATTCAAATGATTGTAATTGTATGTACTGATAGTCCTATCATCTACAATATTTAACATCTTTGCCACAATGGAGTGTGTTTTAACCATAGACTGTATATAGGTTTTAACCCTTGTGTTGTGTTCAAAAGCTGTTACCTTTCATGGTGTTCATGTGTCAATTTTGACCCATGATTTATCTCAGTCCAAAACACACACAAAAATAACTATCATCCAATATTGTTTTAACAACATCATAACTAACTTATAATGCATTCATAACCGTACATTCCTGTTGTCATTTAATGTT